CACACTGCCATTATTTCGTCCATCTAGGAATCTCCAAATGACTTCTCATGTTTCTTTACAAAATAAACTTGTGGAAAGTTATTCATTTACAAGACTTAGTAACCAGGATTCTGATAATAGCAGCAGTGTGGTGAGAATTAGTGATGTGCATAGTATGGTGGGAGGAGTAATCTTGGTGAGGGGGGAGAGAGAGGTGGCGTTGTCTGCTGACTCTGTGTGGCAACATGTTATTGTCTAGACTCACTATACCAGCTTAGTGGTTCGCTATGGTGAACACAAATGTAGATACTTATATATAACATGTGTGTGTAGTGTATAACAGCAAAAGGAGTATGTTGGGAGGAGCCATTTTGGCGAGTGAGGTGGCGTCGTCTCCTAGTGTCGTCTGCTGGCTGCTGTGTGACTTGTCATGCAGTGTATGGTAGCCACTATGCTATTTGGACACCATACCAGCTTAGGTTTATAGTTATGATGAACAAAACATGTAGATATTTATACATAATATGTGTAAATAGTGAAATAAAAACAATTATAGTATGGTGGGAGGAGGAATAATGGTGAGTGGGTGTTGGAGGAACGGAGGTGGCGTCTGCTAGCTGCTGTGTTGCGGCCACTCTTGTTGTTTTGGGCTCACTATACCAACTTAGTGGTTCATTATGGTGAACACATATGTAGATAGGTATATACAATGTGTGTGTATATAGTGTAATAACAGCAAAACACTGTTTGATTGATCATAGACTATAATATAGATGTCACATATATGAGCCCCATAATTTTGAGCATAGTGATGTTCCACACATTGAACTATATAAATTCCACAAATTACACACTTTTGAATAATATTACAGCAAAAAAACAGATTAGAAATGAATGAGAAACATCAAAATAATTGTGAAACATTATATTCGCAGTAACTAATGTCCCACATGGTGGCAGGGTCGAGTGACCCCGAGCGCTCCATCACTCAGCGCACATAATTTGCTCAACTTCCCAGCTCCATCATGGCTAAAGTATGTCACATACAATATATATATTTTTTTTTTAGTTTCCCATGATCAGAGACTGCATATAACCACAATATAACAAGAGAAAAGTTTTTGGGAAGAATTCATTTTCGGTGCACCACAGGGGTGTCATATTTTAATGCAGAGCAGTGCAGTGGTTAAGTATGAGAAAGCATGTTTAATGTGATTTGTACTTAAATACTGTGAAATCTGGATATAGAACAGATTTTCAAGATCACACTGTACAATGATTATCTATGATGATTTTGGCACATTATTATATATACTGTAATCACTATGATAATTATCAACTATGATTAAAATCATTATCCATAAAGTATCCACAATTATTAACCATAACCATAATCACATTCGAAGCTTTGATGTATGATGACAGAAACGTTTAAAGGTTTATAATAATGCTAGGCAGTGCTCTCAAGATATCGTCTAGAAAACCACATCAAACACAGATGAAGATCCCCCACTATAATAAAAAGTTAAATCCAATTTTCATAAGCAGATTTTGTTTTATGAAAAATACATTACTGTGATTTAAATTTCAAGTGTTTACAAAGAATCATTTTAAAGTTAAAAACAAACTAGTGGCAGGGAGAGAAAGGGTAAGGAATAATGAAAGGGTAAAACGACTAGGTAATCTTCCCTCCCAACCAAACTAGAGATACTTGTTGATGATAAATATAACATACCAATAATACAGTGATATCTCGGGTAATTTATATTAAGTTTCTCGGCCTTCATGGTGCATCTCATTTTTTTCACCGTATCCATTATAAAAAAATCCCATAATTTAAACAATTTTATCAGTGAAAATAACAGAACATGTATTTCATATATATCATATATATTTTGATACAAAATTCCATATACCCCGTACAATTATATTTTTTATTCTAAATAATAAACTTGAATTTTACAATAGTTATCATCACTGCAATTCCCAATCATCTAGGATATCTAGTTTATCCAGACACAAAATACACTGCATCAGATTTGAAATATGTTGTAATTCACCCTGTGAATCCAATATTTAAATGAATCGAGATTTTTACAGGTGCAATTTCACTGTATTAGTAATATGAAAATAATAAAAATAATAACAAAAATTAAAACAATAATGAATATGCTAAAAAAAATTATTAGTAATAATAATAATAATAATAATAATAACACAGATCATAAAAGAACAACAATACGTCGTAATAATAAATGTTAAATTAACCAAAACAATACAAGACGGAAAATACTAGTAATTCTAGTAAAGAATTATAACTCCAGCCATACGGAAAACGACAACTAGACTGAAAAGGGTATTAAAACACGGACTAGAAATTGTTTAAAATATACCAAAAGGCTGCTACGTTTGCAATAAGGGAGGGGCAGCCTATCGTGGCGAAGATCCCTACAAGAAACTCTAGCACGGGGGGCAGAATTTTGGGACCCCATCTGAAAATGAAAAGTTGGAACAAAAGCAACCTGTTGACTCCCAGAAAGCGTCGCCAAAAACCAAATACTGTACTATATTTTTTCTTTGGAGCAGGATTTTACTTATAAATTTTGGCAGTTTAATATAACTGTAAAATAAATAAATATATATATATATATATATATGTTGTACCTAGTAGCCAGAACGTCGTACTCGGCCTGCTATGCAAGGCCCGATTTGCCTAATAAGCCAAGTTTTCCTGAATTAATATATTTTCTCCAATTTTTTTCTTATGAAATGATAAAGCTACCCATTTCATTATGTATGAGGTCAATTTTTTTTATTGGAGTTAAAATTAACGTAGATATATGACCGAACCTAACCAACCCTACCTAACCTAACCTAACCTATCTTTATAGGTTAGGTTTGGTTAGGTAACCGAAAAAGTTAGGTTAAGTTAGGTTAGGTAGTCGGAAAAACAATTAATTCATGAAAACTTGGCTTATTAGGCAAATCGGGCCTTGCATAGTAGGCTGAGAAGTGCGTTCTGGCTACTAGGTACGACATTATACATATATATATATATATATATATATATATATATATATATATATATATATATATATATATATATATATATATATATATATATATATATATATATATATATATATATATATATATATATATATATATATATATATATATATATATATATATATATATATATATATATATATATATATATATATATATATATATATATATATATATATATATATATATATATATATATATATATATATATATATATATATATATATATATATATATATATATATATATATATATATATATATATATATATATATATATATATATATATATATATATATATATATATATATATATATATATATATATATATATATATATATATATATATATATATATATAATCATTATCTGACTATCTTTATCTTATACCCAAGACTGAGCCCATCAAATGTTAAATCATCTCTCTCCAGTGTTGCATAAACATCCAAGAAGGTTAACCATTCCTGTGGTAGGAGATGCATTTCATGAGAGGGAGAGCTGATATACAATGTAGACGAGAAGTCACAATAACGTGGCTGAAATATGTTGACCAAACCACACACTAGAAAGTGAAGGGACGACGACATTTCGGTCCGTCCTGGACCATTCTCAAATCGACTGTATCGCAATCACTCAACTCAAGTCACAATTGACTTGAGAATGGTCCAGGACGGTTTGAAATGTCGTCGTCCCTTCACTTTCTAGTGTGTGGTTTGGTCAACTGATATACAATGAAAATTGCCAAAAAAAATGAGATGGCCAACAAATAATTTTGTATATATATATATTTTCGAGTGACTTAAGTGGTGTGAAATAATCTGTAATGGTCCACTCTCAGGAAGGAAATTAATGGTGTACCAGGTCCTTCTTAGAAAAGTTCCATTCCATAGGCATGGTTGCAACATAATAACAAGAAAGAAATTATATACTACCCCTTTGAGGGGCCAAGTCCTGAGATAAATAAGCATATATTTAAATGATATATTTCACTGCCACAATCCATATTGCTCATGCAATATACAGTATTCGTAATTAAGTATGCTCATAGATTGTTGACTGTTCGTGAAGCATTATTCACAGGATCCTTATTTTAGGATATCATGAAAGCTAGTGAAATACTTTTACAAATTATCCATATTATTAAGCAACCATGATAAGCAATTAGTAATGAGTAGCAGTGAGTGACAGCTAAGAAATTAACAATGTACAGTACTAAACAATATTTTAGTATATTTTACCTGGATTTAAATAATTTCCAAAATAGCTTTGAGTCTTTAAATTCTTCTACAAGAAAATTAGCCATAAATAAATTCAAACATTACAGTATGTTTATTTTAAGTTACTATTTTTCATGAAAACTTCATCCGACACAGATGATCAAAGCATTATCATCCAGCCATTCATTGTAAAAATACACCAAAAAAATATTCTTGTAATATAAAATAAAGAATAAACCTTTGAACAAATAAAGTAATGAAAGGAAAATAATTCAATTTATATTGATGAGAAAAACTATGAAACACAGATACAGTTCTGGAAACAAGATGTGAAGATAAAAAGTTTAGTAATAGTAAAGGAAGGTGTGGATGGCCCATACAAAACACAGCTGACTGTAAGCGCTAAATACGAAGACCATGGCAACAAAATATTGTGAAAAGTGAATAGGGATGAACAAAGTTAAATGTTTTTATATTTTCAAGAGGGGTTTACAAAATAAATATACTGTATACAAAATATACAGTACTGAATATTATACAACTCATTTAATGATGGATAATGAAATGGTAAACAAGACAAAATTGGGGAGAGGGAAAAAGGTTTTGCAAGTTCCAAGTAGACAGAAATATTGGAAACAAATAAGTATTAATAACAATGCTAGAATAATACACCAAAGTTATAATAAAAAACCACAAAAAATTAATAACATAAAAAAGATGTCAGTCAAAGACTTACCTATGATTGTACTTTCTGAGCTTTTGTAAACCGTATTTGCCTTCTTGTGAACATTTTGAGACCGGAAGACTTTCTAAATTTGCCATCAACAGATTTATAGACGTCTTCAATTCCTCCAAGTAGAGAGACTCCATTTCCTTTACCACAAATTTGGGCATCAGCTTGCGATTCTGTGGGAGTTACTGGCTTTTAGTCTGCCTCATCTTGTAAGTGCCAAACAGCAAAACAGTATTTATCATTTTAATAGTTTGAATTGTTGGCAATTTTAATCTATTTAATTATTTCCTCTGGCAGTAAACACCAAGTCAATATAACAAAACAGAAAATAAAGTCAATGCCAATAATTGATTTAAATTCATTTATAATTTGAGTTTCCTTTCTGAAACTCGCACTGTAATCTATAGAATTTATGTAAATTATCTTAATATATTATGTATGGAATAAGTTTTATAATTTCTTAAGCTACGTAATTTAATTCGTACTTTAATTAAATTAATTAAAAAATAGTCAAATAGAGTTTTGAGAAAAGACAGACTTTTCATGATCTGTTTTCATGATTTATGTTTATATTTTCAATGAACAACCAAATCGATCAAAATATTTTTAGACTATGTTCTAGATGATGAATGAATTAAACTTAAAATACTCCTGGGTCTTAGGTTGCATAACAATATCAGGAACAATTAACTAGAGTTGCATATTTTAAATACAAGATCTAAAAAATATAAATGAAGCAAGACAAGCACTGAAAACTGTGCCAGGGAGCACCAGGTCAAATGCCTTCTTTCAATCTACAAGAATGTAAGATATAAATAGAAATAAACTAAACATTTATGTGGTAAAAGCATTAATTAATGAATAAAATCAAACATCAGGCCAAAATTCAACATGTACAGTATTGGCCACACTAAGAGCAAACTACAAAAATTTGAGGATTATATTTATAGTAGAATTTATTACATGATCATTCTCTCTCATGTCCATTTCAAGAACCTAAATGTAAATGCATGTCAAATTGCCCAGTATTATACTAATGGCATTACAGAAATTATAATTTGTGCATAGATTCAGCATTTTCTTGCCTAAAACACAATAATGACATGTAAATATATATTCCATCAGGTTACCTAAACTTATAAAAACAGAATCATTAGCCAAAAAAAAAAAAAGTATAAATTTGAAGTACAGTATTATAAAAACAAAAACTGAGAATTCTGGGTAACACATAAGGAATACAGTTCACATATCTATCATATATTACCTGTAATATATGGCATACCCACAATTTATACATAGCCTTTCATTCAATATCTAACTGCTACATCTACAAAGAGAAATGCATACCTATGGCTTACTGAGGCCTCTAGGAATATCTCCATAACAAAACTTACTTCCGGATCTCTCTTTAGACCTTCTAACTCCTTTTTAAAGACGTGGAAGTAAAAACAATAATAAGAGGATGTGGTACTGTTTAAATGAAATGCGGAAATATGTAAAAAATGGAGGATTTGTTCGAAGTATTAAAATGGGATTTTTGGGATTGTGTAATTTCAAAACTAGTAAAACCACTTTCCAATTAAATTTGGACTGTACCTTAAAGGACATGAGCAAAGGAGTTACTAAACAATTCACACTTAAAACCAATTGGTTTTACACTGTTACCATGTTAACATGTTACCCAGTGGTGTTTAACCACTGCCCTGCGCAGAGCACCTTAATTATGGCACCCAATCGGGGGTGCGCAGAGCACTATATGGCGCTTTTAGGTATAAGGAGCGATTCAAAACTTCCACGGTACAAAAGGCATAAATCCTGTGCCTCAGGACTCCAGTAAACAGACACCATCTTGAAAAAAATTATCAGCATCCATGCTGGCTGTGAGAGCCTTAGTACTAAGAGAGCGACCAAGGCTGGCGCATGCAGGAGCCATGCACAGCACCGCTGTGCAGCTAAGGGCCACAGCAACACTTAGTAATGATGAATAAAATAGGTAACATAAAATATTTTGTGTTGATAGTATCATAGATGCTCCTGACTGTGCGATAAAGACTATGTATAGCATTTAGATATCAGTGAATACAATGCTAGTTTTAATATTCACAGCATGAGGTACAAACACAGCATCCAGCCATTGTTTCCTTTAACATAGTGATGTTCCACACATTAAACTATATAAATTCTTCAAATGACACACTTTCTACAAATGACACTACAGCAAAAGGCCAGAGAAGAAACGAATGAGAGACATTGAAATAATTATGAAAAGCTACATTCGCGGCAACTGCCGCCCCATGGGGTGGCGGTGGCAAATGTCCCGGAGCACTTCATCACACCGCCCATAAATTGCTCAACTTCTCAGCTCCATCATGGCTAAAGTATGTCACTTACATAAGTTTATTTTAGTTTCCCGTGATCAGAGACCGCATTTTAAAAATATAAGAAGAGAAAATAATTTTTTTTTAATTTATTCTCTGCACACCACAGGGGGTGTCATATTTTAATGCAGCGCAGTGCAGTGGTTAAAGTGTATATACAATACTACTGTCCTTCAAATATGTATGTATTGTAAAGCCAAATTAGAGGCATGATCCAGAGTGACAAAACCTTTTTCATTTCAGAGCATCCAGAGTATAAATATGATTAATCATGGAGTAGCCATCTGGTGATAGCCATCTGAATTAAACATTATTGTATTTGATAAAACCAACACAGAAAAGAAAATAACAATAATCAATAAATAACAAATTTTCACACTACAAAATTTATTAAATTTAAATTTTTCTCAATAATTAATTGTCAACATATTTATTTGCCTGAATGGATAATACTTTAAGTGCTTATCATAAATCATATTTTAGTATTCTCACTAAAGCCAAGGTTCTGTAGTTGTAGATGTATATGTTATAAGAAGATGTTATAAGAAGCTATATATGATATATAGCCTACATCATACAGTTTCTAAATTTGACGACAGGCTAATGCTTATCAATGCTGAATAAAAGAAGTAAATTAAATTACAGAACATATTTCTTCTGGATTTTATTTATTTATATATATATATATATATATATATATATATATATATATATATATATATATATATATATATATATATATATATATATATATATATATATATATTAATATTAATATTAGTAAATTTAGTGTTTTTAATAAAAAGTGATGAGATGAAATAAATCCAGATGATATTTATGCCACTGAGGACAGTGAACATTTAACTCAAAATCTAATTAATATTTACAGCACATTATCTAGCTATATATAATACAAATACTGTATGTACAAAGCTTTATTAAATTATTTTAAAAAATTTTATACCAAAGGAGTGGATACGAAATGTGATGGGCAAGCAAATAAATGAATGGAAAGAGAATGTAGTCTAGTAGACTCCCGCCAATTTACTGGTTCGTGAGTGTTGCTGCAATGGTTTCATTATTGTACAAATAAAATAATTACCATATACTGTGTATTATTAACACCTAAATTTAACATTAATCATTATTAATGTGCTTTAGGAATAAAATATCAGAATACTGTTAAAATGCTTGATTTTGTTATTCTTTTCATTAGTTTTTCAAATATCATCATGTAGGAGAGATGAGCAGCCTATACCCAGATGAACTGTATGATAACCTAATCCATAAGATGAGTAGATGACAAGAAAACTAAGAATACCACTAAGCAGCCAGAAAGCATGCAACAAAAAAAACTAAGAATACCTGGCAGTCTAAACACCTATGCACTGAAAGGCACAGAGCTATGGTCCAAGGATGAGAAACCAAGTGCTCACCTGAGAAGCCCACATTGAGCATAGGAAATACCACAATGCAGCCACAGACAGAGAAAAGATGACACATACCCTGGCCAAATGAAGTGAACCTCCACCAACAGATGCCTCTCTCTGAAGGTAAACAGCACGTATGAGGCAAGAAATTGAGAAAAAGAAGTCCAAAATGGGGAGAGAATCCAACACATAGATTAAGTCAGGGTCTGGAAGAATGGTAACCAAGTGGAGATTAAGGTAAGTCAGAGCCAGCTGGAGTAGGGATGTGATGGCAAAGTAAAATAGCAAGCTCAAAAGAGGCCCTGTTCAGGCCAAACAAGTTGAGGTGACAGCAGGTGACCACAAGGGATGACCCAAGAAAAGCCATGATGATGAAACCAGAGAAAGGGAGAGAAAGAGCTAATAATACAGCCAATTATAGTGTGGTTATAGGTCCACTTGTATTTTTGGTGTCCCTCCTCTAGGCCCCATGATTGTACACATCGCAGGGATTCAGCTTTTAGTTTGATTACTTGGTAGCTCTGGGATACCGGTTATCAGTACCTTGCCTGGGCTTCCTTTAGCAGTCAGCCTAAGGGCCCCTGGAAACCCCCATTGGGGCTCATTGCTCCGATGAGGAGTCCTCCAAGTCCACTTTGCTTCGTGCGAGTTTGAAGGTTGCTCTGTCCCCCTTGTCTCAGGGTGACATTCACAGGCTTTGCCTCTGGCATGCTGCCTGTTGGGTCAGTGACACCTTTGACCTGGAGTCTTGTGAGTGGTGTTCTTTGATGTACCCCACTTCACACCACTGTTACCGATATTCGGGTGCAGACAGTTTCCGCATTGCATGCAAGGTTTAGGTTGCTGCAACGCGCTCAGTTGGTTGTCTTTCTGGATGCCCTATGGCTGCCCCATTTGGGTTATAGGGACCCGGACTTGGGGGTGTTAGTCACCTCGGCTTCGGTTTCTTCCACATCCCCTAGTCTTTTCCCTCCTGTAGTTCATCCTGCTCTTGGCTCCTGGCAGTATGGGTTCGAGTCACTTCTGGGGTGTGGAGTTTTCAGTTGAATATATGCCTGGGGACCATTCAGGCTTGTTCACATTTGTGTTGCTCACATGGCCCCACAAAAAGGAGGTGATTTGATAAAACAACCATGGCCAAGATTACCATCAAAGTGCCGTCGGGGAGGTAGTTCAAATAGCCTCGGCTATCACCTCTTTTTGTATGATCACTGATGGTAGAGTGGTTAAGGCCTCCTATACACCAGTTGCATAGTGCTCCTGGCAGTATGGGTTCGAGTCCCTTCTGGGGTGTGTGGAGTTTTCACTTGAATATATGCCTGGGGGCCATTCAGGCTTGTTCGCATATTATAATATATATATATATATATATATATATATATATATATATATATATATATATATATATATATATATATATATATATATATATATATATATTATATATATATATTATACATATATATATATATATATATATATATATATATATATATATATATATATATATATATATTATATATATATATATATATATATTATACATATATATATATATATATATATATATATATATATATATATATATATATATATATATATATATATATATGTATGTATATATACACAGTATATATATAAGCCTATATAAAACCTAAATCTTATAATTGGACATGGCACATATGTTGCCTGAAATATATAATGGTAATCACTCACTTCTTGTTGTTAAAATTTCCGTGGCTCATAGTATGGCTGCCCTGCACATTCTTAAGCCCTTAGGAACGTTACATAGGCCTTAGTAACATAGGCCATGGAAGTAAAGGGAAGTGAGGGACTCGGGTGTTTTTTCAAGATGGGGGATGCTTACTGGAGGCCTAAGGAAGTAAATGTGAGCCCCTTGTATGCATGAAAGCTGCAAATCTTATGATATACTACCATGGTCCCATGTCGATTGGCGCACCATCACATCTGGTAATATGTCGGCTGGTGCAGTGCTGAGTTTAAGAAACACAAAGTGAGGCCAAGCAAAGCTCAGGCATTGCTATTGCTTGATAATGAACCTGCCCACCCCTGTATTGACACTTTAACCTAACATGATGACAAGATAACATATGTGGCATTCCTCCTAATACCACCTTTCTCATCCAGCCTATTGATTAGGGAGTTATCTGTGCCACGAAGAGGTTGTACACCAAACAGATACTCAATGATGTTTTGGTGATGTTCCCTCTCGAGGAAGATGAGGAACTTGGCATGGATACTCGGGCTAAAAAACTTTAAGAATTTGAACCTCACAGCTATGGTCAACAATGAAGAGGAAGAAGATATGATTTTTGAAGGATTTTGAAAAGCAGAATGTGTTTGAATGGCTAGAAAGTGATGCTGATGACCCAGGATATGGTGTGATAAGCGAAGAAGAGATTCTACAGTCTGTTACTGGTGAGGTCGATGAAGAGGAGGATGAAGATGGCACTGAGGAACCAACACCACAGACAGCTAAATACGGTTTACTCATGTCTTCTGTTGACATGTTAATTAATTTGTCATCCAACTGTGCTAATCCAGAAGTTGGAAATGTGTACTGTATCACTACTTGAGGGAAACCAAAAAGCTGATCATAAGAGGCCAATGAACACAGGAGGCAAGCTAAACTCGATTCTTATTTGGTAAGAACAGCAAGCAAGGACCTTCACCCAGTGATGCCTCACAAGCAATCCAAGGACCTTCATCCAGTGAAGCCTCACAAGCAATCCAAGAACCTTCAACCAGGAAAACCTCACAAGCAATCCAAAGACCTTCATCTATTGAAGCCTCACAAGCAATCCAAGGACCTTCACCCAGTGAAGCCTCACAAGCAATCAAAGGACCTTCAACTAGTGAAGCCTCACCAGAAAGTAAAGATCCTTCAACCAGTTGTAATGACTGGTATATAAAGTTAGCCTTTGTTGTTATTAATGTAAATGTTTCTCTTAGTTAAAATACCAGTTTGTTTTATTTGTGTTAATTTTACTATTTCATTTGTGTCTGATAGTATGTATCAGTAAATGTGTATGAATATGTGTGTAAAGTTTTCCCGTGCGTTTTCGTGAGAGGAGCGTCACTGTAATCCATGAGAGAGGGCTGAGACAACACACACAGGTTGTGTGGTGTGTGCTCATGAGATACTCAACCTCACTGTGTGAGGGGTATTGACCTCTATTTATATCCGAGTGTCGAACTGTAATCGTTAAGCGGGTGAGTGAGAAATTATTCCTCGTTAGTGTATTATCCCTTTTCCTGTGTTTAAATAAATGTACTGCACACACTTTGGTTGTTTCTCGAGTCCTGCCAATGCATAAAATATGGTATCAGCTCCACATGGTCACTCTTATGTTTGAAGTGTTTATATGCATATTGCATATTGGTTCTACATACCTGGTTTAAAGTAACGTACCTATACTGTAAATAAGAAAGTAAGGACTGGTTTTGTGAGTTCATACCCTACGATATGGCTTACCAGAACGTGTCCTTACACATTGAATCTTCAGCAGCTGGCAGTCAAAACTGACCTTGAAAAAGCTCATGTACTGTACAATAATTTTAGTGTTATGTTAGGTTAGGTTTCACCTTAAATTAAATCTCATCTGATATTAGGTTACATAAATTTTCAAGAATTCTTTATTACAAGATGTGCAGCATCAATCAAGAAGATGAACTACAACAAGGAAAGCTGAAGATTCTGTTTTAAATTACAGTACTGTACTGGTATATATTTTTAATTATAGTGTGTGTGTGTGGAAACTCAAATTATGTTGGTTGAGGTACAAAAAATTTAGAATATGTTCACTTTTTGAACTTTCCCAGTAAGAATTCTGCTTATCCGGTGGGAGTCCTTCCCATATACTCTGGATAAGTGAGCTCAGACAGTATCTATATCTATCTGTAATTTACTCAATAATAAATGGGGTACCTAGCTATGCCTGGGTTTCTCATGCCATCTTCCTCCTTTCCTCCCTTATCCCCTCTCCCCCCTCTCTCTCTTAATCTTGCTATCTCTCATATCTATTCTCCTTCTCCTTCCCCTTCTCCATCTCAGCCTCTCTCTCTCCCTCTCTCCCCTAACATAACCCTTTTCCATCTCTCCTCCCTTCTTCTCTTTACATCCTTCCTCCCAATCTTCCCCCTTCTCTCTTCTTTCTTCCCTTACCTACCCTCTCATCCCCATTCCCCTCCCCTATCTCCCTCATCTCAACCTCTCTTCCCCATCTGCACCTTTCTTCCCCCTCTGCTCCCCTCTCCTCCTCTCTTCTCCAACATCACCCCTTTTTCCTTCTCTTCTCTCCTCTCCCCCTACTCACTTTCTTTCTCTTCATCTCTCTTTCCTGCAGGTGAGCAGAAAGAGTAAACATCAAACCTCTACAGAAAACACAACCCTTAATTTTATTTCAGACTTTATGAAAATCATAGGAGAAAACTTAAATTGCTGACATTTCTTAAAACATGGCACTTGAGCCAACACTGACTTGCCTATGACACTCGCATACCTCCAATGTTTAACGTGTGAAAGCTGGGCGAGGCTAACCCGAAGCATCTGGTCTCCAATGTATATACACATATAACTCTTGTATATATAAATAACAAAAATAAATAAATACTTTGGACAGACACACAAATGGACAGGTAGGCAAACAGTCTTGCATTCTATTTTATAGATAGTACATAAATAGTGTCTACACTAGGTATTCAGAATCATATGAGGCCCACTCCATTACAATTAGCTGGACATTCGAGTTAGCCAAATTTTTTACCAAGAATGTAAAAAATTAACAATTAATATTTATTCTGGTTTCTCGTTCTGCAGAAATCTCAATTACCCAAATTTTTATTCAAGTCGAGAGGTCAAGCACAAGAATTTATTCCGATTATACTGAGATTCTGGTTAACAGAATCCAAATTTCTGAGCTCTTACAGTATACTGTACTCATACAGTACAGTATTTAGACAAATATTTCCAAAACAAATACAGTAGTGTTATACAAATTAGCACTATGTAGCATTAAATGGGGTATGTATGTACTGTAATTGATGTTTACTGTGCTTACTTTCTAAGAATAATAATAATTTTAATGGACTCAAATCAAGAAGTGGACTCCTCAACCACTTTAATAACCAAAACAAAAGTAAAATTCAGTAAACCTGTAATATATCAATCTACATATACTGTACATCACACATTTAACAACAGAACCTGAAGAAAATTACACTCAAGCCAATTGCTTATTCTGTACATGAATCACTTGAAATATCTTAAAAGACACTCACCCGTTCTAATTCTGCAACTTTCTGCATACGACCATCTAATTCTCTTCGGATAGCAGCTGCTTGTTCATCTTGACTGTCCAACTGTTGGGAATAAATATGTTTATCAATCCACTTCATTTATATTACAAATTACAAAAGAATTTTGGTTAGATATTAGAGTTATCCAAATGCCCAAAGCAAGTAATCTAAAATCTTAAGGATAGTTTATACCTCACTGAACTTTCTTGATGAAATGTATCGTCCCAGTAGGGTTCGTTCTCGACTCACACTCGGGAATTAAAAGTTCAAATCTCAGGCATTACAGAGATGGTTGGACACATTTCCTATCATCTAATGCCTCAGTTCACCTAGCAGTAAATAGGTACTCAGGAATTAGTCAACTTGCTATGGGGGGTTGCATCCTGGGAGGGTCAATGCTTTAACCTTTGGGGGGGAGGCCTCAATATAAGCCTAACATGTATATATATGAATGCAATTCGTGCCATCAGATATACCACAGTTATCACCAAAAAATCTCAGATAAATTAATCGAAGTGTATAGCAACAAGCAAACCAAAGGCAAATGTCCTCTTCATTTATACTGCTTAACCTGCAATAATCGTGGCAAGGGCCTACATTACCCAAGCACTGCCAACGAAGATACAGATGAAAGCAATGAAGAAGACAAAGGGAATAAATACTTATGACATAATAAAAGGACTACGGACTTTCAGCAATTAATAAATAGAAATCATTTAGGCATGATTCTTGTGGGCAACCAGTAGAACCCCGGAAGGCAATCAGGCACTCACGGAGAACACTCTGAATACAAGCAGAGTGGAGGATAAAGATTTAGAGGTTCCAATGAGAGAATCAGAAGCTTGCCTGAAACGCTTTGTGTAATAGTAGCTTCATTAGTGGGTGTAACTCCTATCCCTACAACTGGCATTACTCTTATGTTCTTTGTATACACATTCTTTGGAATAAAACCAGCATTGAATGTAATGAAATACCATTTTCTGGGTGAGCCCCAAAGGCTCCCTGGAGCTATCGGGCTAATGTGTGATATATTAGACCGGGGCATTAGTATATGGAATTCGACCTACCGGGACCACGAGCCAGGACCTGGCCCCCTTAGAGGTTTCAGGGAGCAATGGCCCTGGAAAACCCCCATAGTTGGGGTCTTTCCTTATCTGCCATCGACTAGGGTTAGGTACCCAGAAAGGTAGGCATAACAAAACCCCACATGGTAAGAAATTTAAAATTAAAAACCGAAACGAGAGAGAGGTAGAACTCCCTCCAATCCTAAGGAAACGAGCAAACAAGCAAATGCCACACTCCACTGCCGCACCTTTCATCCGTGCAGCCCTCCTTGTGTGGGCTACCCAGCACTCCAGTTCAGAAGCTATGCATCAAACAACGTAAAAAAACGATAACCGGAGGGAGGGAGGGTTGCCAGGGAGCCTCTGGGGCTCACCCAGAAAATGGTATTTCATTACATTCAATGTTGGTTTTCTGTGAGAAGCCCCTTTGGCCCTCTGGAGCTACATAACCAAAGATAAGGAAAAGAGGGACTTGCCTCCCTCTTTTGTTTAGCCTAGCCCTGCAGACGACCTGGGAGACCCAAGCCCTGGAACAGGAAACGAAAGAAACCAGATCATCCCAAAGCGCATTCCCAGCCACCAAAGCAGAAGAGCGCAGATAACGGCGGAGAGCCGCAACCGGGCGCAACACATGATGCACCCCCAGCCTGACCAACCAAGCATCAATGACCCAAGGACCCCTCCGGAAAGCCGTTGTCTCGTTCTTCGCCAGAAAAGAAGAAGGCTGCATCCAAACAAACCTACCACCAGGACCAAAAGAGCAGAAATCCCTGCGTCAGAGGAGAGCATGCAGCTCACCGACCCAACCCCAGAGGCCAATGCCAACAGAAACTGAGCCTTGTTAAAACAATCTTGAATCGAATGGTGCAATACACTAGCTGAAAATATTTGAAAATTAGTAGTGGGAGTATACTACAGGGCAGACACAACAACAGCAGAGGAAATTACTGATCTGCATAATGTGATCAGTGCTATGTTAGAAACCCAAGCCCTGAAAATGGGGGGACTTTAATCATGAGACAACAGACTGGGTGAGTCTAACACCACAAGCAGAAGGAAATCAGTTTCTTGATTTGGTACAGGAATTCTCTCTCATACATCATGTGACACAGCCCACCTGAGGGAACAGCATAGAACAGCTAGATTTGGTGCTAACATCAGAAGAGGGCGTGATTGATCAAAAACAGTTAGAGGAGAAGCTCACCCACTTCATGTGATCACAATATTCTAAGATGGTCTACAATTGTAGACAAGGTAACCCTTGTAAAGGTCCAGGATGACGACCTTCTAGATTACCCTCGAGGGGATAATCAAGGAATGAGAGTGGAATTGTAAAACACCTGGAAGGAGTTATTAGCATATCAAGGCATGACAGCATCATAGGAAAACTTCAAAAAGGTTATCACTGAAATTGTTAAAAAATATGTGCTAAGAAAGGGAAAGAAAGGAAAGAACTGTATGGATGATACAGGTAGTAAAACGAGCTCTAATAAATAAGCAGAACCTCTGGAGCCAGTATCAATCCACAAAGAACAACATAGATTATGAGATATACAGAGGGGGACTTATATTTGGCCACCCAGGAAATCAGATCAACCAAAAGAAACTATGAAAGAAAGCTTGCTCAAAACAAAGTTAGATCCAAAGTCTTTATATGCCTACATTTTTTGTTTTCCCAGGTTTTTCTGGGTGTTTTGTTTCCATGTTGTTTAGCAGTTTGCAACTTTGTTCTCTTATATTTTTATACTCTGGGCAGCACTCTGGGCAGCACTCTGGGCAGCACTCTGGGCACGGGTGGTTCTGTTGTTTCAACAGGGGTCTTGACGACTCATTACATGGTTCTTGTGCTGGGACTGCCCTGGGCCTTTTTTTTTTATTATTATTATTATTTTCTACCACAGACGTGGCCACACATTTACACTGCTAACCAGCATATATACATTTTCTTCTGTCCTCCATGGACAGGGTTAGAGATGTGTTAAACATATAGTTCAGGGGTTTATTGAACAAACCTGTGTGTGTGTGTGTGTGTGCCCTGGGCCTGTGTGGCTTTAGACCAGTTTCTCTCTTCTGTTCCTCCCTCTTGGGTTTTATTTGTCTTCTACTCTCCTCCACACCAGGCATTTTAACTTTGTGTTTTTGTTCTCTGTGGTGAGATAGCAATAGGGAGCCACCAACAGAGTCCTACCAGAAAACCAGCATTGAATGTAATTAAATGCCTCTTTCTGATGGGTCCTTCAGTGGCTCCCTGAACCCTCCCTTCCCATCCCCTGGTGTTGGGGATTTAGTTTTTTGATTTCCATTGGATTACGACTTATACTACATTGTAACTGGTAGCTGTGATTGGCCGCCTGGCAGTAGACAGCTGTAACTGGAAAGAGAATGGATTGCCTGCTGGGATGTACATTTTCTGTGATTTTATTTACCCTATACTGTACTATTTAATTTGGGAAACGTTTTCCCTATTTTGTTTTAAATTTAAATTTTTTATAGTTTTACTTTGCTTTTGTGTGCTTTGCTTTGCCCTACCTTTCTAGTGGCCTATTACTTTAGTATGAGTGATCTTGAATCCTCTACTCTTTATGCCTCTGTGAGGGGGACCAGGTTTTGGTCTTTGGTCTCTGATAGGCTTTTTAAGACTTGCAGGGGCCTGATGTGATTTGACTTGGATAGAGCAATCCAAGATATACTGTAGCAACATGTCACCAAAGGGGCCACCAGAAAGAAGCATTTCATTATATTTAATGTTGGCTGTTAGCCATCTTTAGCATAATTAAAGCCCTTTACTCCTTTATTGCTGTCACCAATTGTCAGAAACAAATTCTATGTCATGTATTTATTTATTTATTTATTTATTTATTTATTTATTTATTTATTTATTTATTTATTTTAGAAGATTCTAAGAATTGTACTATACCTGTAGAGCATTGAACAGAAGTTGATGTTCAAACTTTTTGATGCCAAGGATCTGCTGAAACATGTCAAAGAGCTGCTCTTTGGGCATAATAAGCTCACTGTTGAGGCTTTGTTGCATTCTTCCAGGTCGTTTGGATATATATATATATATATATTGTGACGATAATCTCCTTCAAGAGATTGAGCCTGCTCTTCCCTCCAAAATTACGTCTTCACAATTATATAAAAAGACTATGGAAGAAATGTCCAACAACGACAACAACACCAGCACCAGCAAGGCTTGCCAGGGTGAGCAGAAACGTATGCAACCAGCCACCTGTTCGAACTCCAACCACCAAACTACCCGTTGATCGCTACGGCTCCGCTGATTGGTCGCCGGTCTGGCTGCACCTGCACTCGCCCCCAATACTACCTGATGTCTGGGGTCGCCCCAACATCAGTCCTCAGAATGTTCCGTGCTTTCGTAGCCAGCACACCTCCCAGCTAGACTCTAGAGTGTACTGAGAGAGGTGGTGGCTTTAAGCCAATATTCCAGCACCTCCCACTTACTGTTGTATTGCACTTCTTGTTATTTTGCCTTAACGTAACTTTTCATTTTGTCATTTAAGTATTCTTATTATTTTGATTCATTGATTTTATTATAAGAATTTGTTTGTGCATTATTTTCATGTTTTGATTTATTTAACGTAATTAAAATTTCATTGTTAAAGTTTACTTGTGTTTTGTGTGTCTTCTCCTTACCTTACCACAGACGAAGTTCCAGTTTTTCTATTTTTTTTTATAACTATGTGACGAGGCCATACCCCTAGCCTTAAACAGCCGAACACCAACGCGTTACCGTCACAAGTTATATGGGGGCCTGTCCTAGGAGCCTCACTCAGGTACTGGTGCCAAGTGGTAATTTATGGTAAGCGTATTTAACTCTGTTAACGTAGCTTTACTATTTTTCATTCAATTTCATTTTTTATAAGGTGCGGTGTATTGTGCATTACGAGAGTAACATATAGTGAAGGTGAGACAACTTTGGATTACGTGGTGACTGTAGGCCTCAGTCATACTCTTAATTGGTCATCTCTCCCTCCATGTTATTACTCGTATTTACCATCTATGTCCCTTGAATATTTCTCATTCTGACAGATCATCATATTGGTACCCTGGTACTGTGGTCTGCCCCGGGTCAAGAGTACCCAATCTTCTGCAATCTGACTGTAGGAGGACAAAGAGGGCCATAGTTCCTCTAGCTCGAACTTTAGTTGCTGAATTGGGACCTCAGCAGCAGTTCTCGTCACCAGTTGACACCTCGCACCCCTACACGTCAGTCAGAGATGATGATACATACAACGGTAGGGAATTAGCTTATTTTTTCAGAGCACAAAAGTTCGCTAATTCTGTAAGTATCATATTAAATTCAGTAGGAAAAACTTGCTTTATGTCCTTTAGAGACTTGGCAAGGTATGCCTACATCCTTGGACTACCAATTTTACTTTTGAAGCATTTAACTGTTTCATTTGTTTTCGAAACTTTGTTTCATTTGTTAGTAGGATTTTCTTGCCCTTATTCTCTTACATGAGTACCGGGTACAAGATTTCCTGCGCCCTTGATTTAATTTAATCATTTAATATCTTTCACTTAACGTTAATTGTTAAAGATCACACAGGATAGGTACCAGTTGCCACGTTGTCCTGTTTCTGACATTTCATTATTGAACATTCGTGTACCTTTATTTGCTAATTTCACCATGTTTCGTCTCCAAACTTTCCGTGCAAATCCAGCAGGTGAAATAGGGACTTTGAGTCGTGCCAAGAGGACTGAACTACAAACTCTTGCACATGAGTATCAACTAGAAGTTCCCTACCAAGCCAACAAAAATGACCTACACAACCTGTTGCTGGATTACTATTTAGAGCAAGGTAAGATAGACTCTGAAACTCATGAAACTTACTATATTGCAGAGAAAACTGACTTGGCTACGATGAAACTTAAACTAGAGCTGGCCAAGATTGAACGTGAGCAGCAAAGAGAAGCAGCTGCCATACGAAGGGAAGAACACGAACGCGAAGCCGCTTTGAGGAGAGACGAACAAGAACGCGAAGCTGCTTTGAGGAGAGAAGAACACGAACGTGAGGTCGCCTTGCTCCATGAACGTGAGAGAGTACAGCTTGAAACAAAACAACGCGAGTTGGAAATACAACGCGAACATGACAAGCAACAAGCAACTCTGGCTCTAGAGTGTCGTCAACGTGAAATCGCCTTGGAAACTTCACACTTCACTCAACGCCAACAAGCTACTGCCAATCTTCCCGTCAGTTTTAATATATCACATGCAAGTAAGTTAATGCCATCCTTTGTAGAAGCAGAAGTTGATGTGTTTTTTACCACCTTTGAAACCCTTGCTAATCAACTCAGTTGGCCTGTCGACCAATGGGCCACACTTCTCAGAGTCCATCTTACAGGTAGAGCTGCAGTCACACTCAGTACTTTGGCGTCTGAGAATGACTACTACACTCTGAAACAAGCAGTGTTGGACGCCTACCTCCTCTCTACTGAAAGTTATAGAAGGAAATTCCGTGACCACCTGAAGGCAAGTACCACTACCTTCCTCGAGTTTGCTAACACGAAACGGAGGTATTTCATGAAATGGCTGGAAGCAGCACATGTCTCTACTTTTACAGAACTCGTCAACCTGATGCTTGTTGAAGAATTCTTGAGACGTGTGCCGCCTCCTGTCCGCCTCTACTTAGCAGATAAAGAAGAAACCGACTACCTGAAGTGTGCTAAGTCGGCTGACACTTACAGCCTCATCCACCGGCTGACACCTGAACCATCCTCCAGTAAGAAGTCGTGGTACAGTTACGAGAAGGTGAGCCCCGATCAAGCTGGTTCACAACTGTACTGCAAGTATTGTAGACTCTATGGACATACCATAGACAAGTGTGGTAAGTCTCAATACAAGGGATCCACTGACCAACAACGACCCAAACCAACTCCTCCTAAGTCCGGTAAGCCTGTGATGAATGTTGGTGTTGATGTTAATGATCTTTCTCTTTTCAGTAACCACCTGTATACTGGAACTGTCTCTGCCAACGGTTCAAATCCGGAGGGACGTTTCAAATTGAAGATCTTGAGGGACACAGCGGCTCTACAATCGATCATCTTGAAGTCGGCTGTGCCCAACATAGTCTACACCGGGGAAACAGTCTTCATCACTGACCTCACTGCTACTACTCCATACCCTCTCGCCAGAGTCCACCTGGATTGTCCCTACGTGAACGGGGAAGTCCAAGTCGCCGTCAGGGAAAAGCCTTTTCCCATGCCTGGAGTGCAACTTCTCCTAGGCAACGACTTGGCAGAAGACCTGCAACCGACCAACCTGATCGTCATGGACAAACCCCAGGTGTGTAACTCTGTGCCAAGTAACCCTATTCTCGAGTATGTTCCAGCAGAGGTTCAAGAGAGTGATGAAGTTTCTCCTCCGGTTCTCGTGACCACCCGTGCACAAGCCGCACGTCCACAGCCAGCTGACTCTACTGCTACCGCTGTCCCTCAAGACCCTCAGAAACTACCCCCGCATCTGACCAAGTTGGAGTTCCGTAAGTTGCAGAGGGAAGATCTTACTTTAACACCATTGTTTTTCCAGGCTGAGACTCAACCCGACAGTATTCCTGGGTTCTTCCTAGAGAACGACTTGCTCTACCGCCGATATAGACCCAGTAAACTGAAGGAGGAGGACGATTGGGCCAACACCGAACAACTTGTGATTCCCACCAGCCTGCGGCCCACTATTCTACACCTGGCCCACGGATCATTCTCCCACTACGGCTTCAACAAGACTTACCATGGGATTCGTCAAGACTACTACTGGCCAGGTATGGTAAATAACGTCAAACAGTACGTAAAACAGTGTCATACATGTCAGATGGCAGGCAAACCGAACGTCTCCATTCCCAGAGCACCACTGATTCCCATACAGGTGCCTGCGGAACCTTTCCACAGACTCATAATAGACTGTGTTGGTCCTTTACCTCGGACCAGTTCAGGTAACGCCTACATCCTAACCATCCTGTGTCCTACCACCAGATTTCCCATAGCAGTTCCAGTGAAGAACATCACGGCTGCTACGGTTATCAAACATCTACTGAAGATCTTCACTCAATACGGATTTCCCAGGGAGATTCAAAGTGACTGTGGCACCAACTTCACCAGTGATCTCTTCAAAAGAACACTGGAGGAGTTCAACATCAAACAGGTATTGTCCAGCCCCTATCATCCTGCTTCACAGGGTTCTCTTGAACGTAGTCATCAGACCATCAAAGCACTCTTGAAAAAGTTTTGTAGTGAAACCTCAAAGGATTGGGATAAGCAGATTGACCTAATAATGTGTATTTTCAGAAGTCTCCCCAATGAGTCCCTAGGAGTATCTCCTTATGAGATGCTCTACGGCCGTAAGTGCCGTACTCCCCTTAAGGCTTTCAAAGACTCTCTCAGAGATGCCACCTTCAGTGAGCATCAGAATGTGCCCCAGTTTCTTCAAAACCTTCAGCACATTCTAGAGAGAGTCCACCGCTTTGCCCATGATAATCTATTGAAAGCCCAGGTGAGAATGAAGACTCATTACGACCAGACCAGCAAAGTAAGAAAATTCAAGCCGGGAGACTTCGTCCTTGCTTATTTCCCTATCCCAGGTTCACCTTTACAAAACAGATTTTCAGGACCCTACTGCGTCAAAGAGTGCAGGAATAATAATAATTATGTGATAGAGACTCCAGATAGGCGGCGGAAGACCCAGCTGTGCCACGTCAACCTCCTGAAGCAATATAATGGTACTCCTCCCACTGTCTTGACTAATTATTCCACATTCACAGAACCCTACATCCACAGTGAGACCTTCCCAGCTTCTCCTCCCGAAAGCACTGACAAGGAGTCAGCGCTTTCTAATTCCGAAATCCTTAATGATCTTCCCAAATACTTTCAGGATAATCATAGTGCACCTCTCGTCAAGATCTTCAGAGAACATCAAGAGTTGTTCAGAGATGATCCCCAAGAGTGTAATGTTACCCAGCACGACATCCAACTGCTCCCCGACACCCGGCCGATTCGTCAACCCTTCTACCGAATCAGCCCGAGCAAGAAGGAAGTCATGCGTGCTGAGGTGCAATACCTCTTGGATCATGGACTGGCTACACCTTGTGAGTCCCCCTGGGCCTCACCTTGTATCTTGGTGCCCAAACCCCAAGGTAAGGTGCGGTTGTGCACTGACTATCGAAAACTGAACTCTGTCACTGTCAAGGATGCTTACCCCTTGCCAAGGATAGATGACATCCTTGATGCCATTGGTAGTGCCCAGTACTTGTCCCAAGTGGACTTGCTTAAGGGGTACTATCAAGTGTGTCTAACGGAGCGCGCTAAAGAGATATCTGCCTTCATCACTCCTTTTGGACTTTTCAGATATGAACGCCTTCCTTTCGGACTATGTAATGCCCCGGCCACCTTTCAAAGAGCTGTCAACCGTGTCATCCAGGGCTTGGATAACACATACGCCTACCTGGACGATATCGTCGTAGCCTCCAACTCCTGGAGTGAACATCTGCTCCAGCTGCGACGTCTGTTCTCCAAGCTCCTGACAGCCGGCCTCACCATCAACCTGGGCAAGTCCACTTTCGCGAAAGGTAAAGTGCGTTATCTGGGTCATGTTATTGGGAGTGGCAGCATAGCTCCGTTAGACTCACACACTCAAGCCATCCTACAGTATCCACAGCCTACCACCAGGAAGCAGCTCCTGCGCTTCCTTGGTCTTGCCTCTTACTACCGTAGGTTTGTGAGGAATTTCAGTACAGTCGCCACACCTCTAATTCTATTAACCAGTCCCAAGCAACGGTATAATTGGACCATGCAGCAAACCGTTGCTTTCGAACAACTCAAATTCCTCCTCTGTTCTAACCCCATTCTCGCCTCTCCAGATATCACCAAGCCTTTCGTCCTTCATGTCGACGCCAGTGGTACCGGCGTTGGTGGTGTCCTGATGCAACAACGAGGCGAGGAAGTTCTACCTGTCAGCTACTACAGCTACAAACTGAAACCACACCAGAGGAACTACAGCACTATTGAAAAGGAGCTACTATCCATCGTCCTGAACCTCCAACACTTCGCTCCGTACCTACAAGGCGCCAGGTCTACCACCATCTTCTCAGACCACAACCCTCTCCGCTTCCTACATCAAGCCCAATTCACCAACCAGCGTCTTCTACGATGGGCTCTGTATTTACAAGACTTCAACCTGGAGATCCGCTATATCAAGGGTTCTGACAACACCATAGCCGATGCCCTCTCCAGAGTTTATGAAGTAGAAGCGACTCCATCCATTACTCCACCACATAACGACGTACTTCTTCCAGAACCGCAGGCTTCGGGGGAGAGTTGTGACGATAATCTCCTTCAAGAGATTGAGCCTGCTCTTCCCTCCAAAATTACGTCTTCACAATTATATAAAAAGACTATGGAAGAAATGTCCAACAACGACAACAACACCAGCACCAGCAAGGCTTGCCAGGGTGAGCAGAAACGTATGCAACCAGCCACCTGTTCGAACTCCAACCACCAAACTACCCGTTGATCGCTACGGCTCCGCTGATTGGTCGCCGGTCTGGCTGCACCTGCACTCGCCCCCAATACTACCTGATGTCTGGGGTCGCCCCAACATCAGTCCTCAGAATGTTCCGTGCTTTCGTAGCCAGCACACCTCCCAGCTAGACTCTAGAGTGTACTGAGAGAGGTGGTGGCTTTAAGCCAATATTCCAGCACCTCCCACTTACTGTTGTATTGCACTTCTTGTTATTTTGCCTTAACGTAACTTTTCATTTTGTCATTTAAGTATTCTTATTATTTTGATTCATTGATTTTATTATAAGAATTTGTTTGTGCATTATTTTCATGTTTTGATTTATTTAACGTAATTAAAATTTCATTGTTAAAGTTTACTTGTGTTTTGTGTGTCTTCTCCTTACCTTACCACAGACGAAGTTCCAGTTTTTCTATTTTTTTTTATAACTATGTGACGAGGCCATACCCCTAGCCTTAAACAGCCGAACACCAACGCGTTACCGTCACAATATATATATATATATATATATATTGTACTCCTCCTCCTCCCCTGAAGACATTCTCACATAAGTTTTCTTGGCTTGAACCTTACCACTGGCTTTCTTGGGACCCATGGCGAGATATATAATAACAACTTTTATATTCATATACCCAAATATCCAAATAACATAAATTCTTTGCAAAGAATTCAGGTGCGATTGTCACTAGGCAGAAGGCACTGGTAAACTGAGGCGTAGTCGCCGTACCACCACACGCTAGGTCGGCCATACGTGTATCAACAAATTTCGTTTCCCGAGGCAAAATTCGTAACCCAATTTTGATTTTATAAAGAAATTGGGCTCGTAACCATAAAAGTTCATAAAGAGGGGCATTCGTTAGCCAAGATGTCACTGTATTTGTTTTATTTTTTGTTTCATTACATTCAGTGCTTTTGCTATATCACGTTTCATGGCTATTTTGTCATTAATACAATAGTATTGTGTTCGACAGCCTGAAATGGCTTGCTCATCATAAATTAACAATGATTGGTTACATCCTTTTACAATTAACATTAACATTATCTTCAAGATTGAACTCAGTATAAAAGAATCCCCAAGTATTGACTGAAACACTTTTCATAAAGTGTTTTATGATCACTTTTCGATCACTGGTTTCATACAGTAACTGATTCAAGTCTATGAGGTATTTGATAGTTTGGGATATTGGTGCTTACCTTTGATGATCATGTCAAACTTGGCCATCCAGGAGGTGAGCACTGTCTCCTTGCTCAGTCCGTCAATCTCCGGCAAGGATCTGATGGGAAAACACCAAATATTGAAGGCTAAAGGAACAGCCCACAATGTACACAGTATGCAATACTCAAAGCTCATCACTTTTTAAGACACAGCACAGGCATAACCCATCTACAGTGCTCCACATAACTTCATCAGCAAATGTTAACATAAAAAAATTGAAAAGAGTAAAATGCCTCTTTCTGGTCCAAGGTGCCTCTGTTGCTAGCCGCACTGGGTAACTCCACACTTATGAAATCGCTCAAGGCCCTCGTGATTCATTATTACCCTACTGGAAACCAGAGGCAAAAGGTTGGTGCCCTCACAGAGGCACAGAGAGCAAAGGATACTATATCACTAAGAAAATACCCATCAGAATGGTAAAGCAAGACAAAACAGACAACAACATATAATGACTTATGTAAAGTATAACTTTTGTGGTTGTTAATGTAATGTTTTTCTCAGCTAAAATATCATTTTGCTTTATTTGTGTTCATTTTTATGCTTAATTTGTGTTTGAGAGTATGTAAGAGTAAATGAGTATGATTCTCCGAGTAAAGTTGTCCTGCAAGTTTCCATGAGAGGAGCGTTCCGGCATTCCATGTGAGAGAGAGGGCTGAGACTCCACACACACAGGATGTTTGGTGTGTGCTCATGAGGTACTCACCTCAATGTGTGAGGTTATTGACCTTCATGTATATCCAAGTGAAGAGAACTGTATTCGTTAATCTGGTGAGCAAGTTTTTTTCCTTGTGTGTATTATCTCTTTTCCTGTGGTTAAATAAATATAATGCATACACTTTGGTTGTTTCTCGAGTCCCGCCAATGCAAAAATATGGTACCGGTCCCATATGGTCATTCTTGTGTTTGAAGTGTGTATAAATGCCCATTGGTTCTACATCCCTAGGTTTAAAGTAACGTACCTATACTATAAATAAGAAAGTAAGGACGGGTTTCGTGAGTTCATACTCTAGGGTATGGCTTACAAGCTTGTGACCTTACAAACAAGGCAAAGGTAAACAAAACAGAAAATGACATTTCACTGCTAGTTACACCTCCCCCAACCAAGTGGCAGCACTAGGAGCTTGTGATTCAAGAGGTGGGCCACCTTCATAGTCATGAGCCAGACTAAGGCGAGCTGAAGCACCTGCATGAGGAGAAGGGAGCAGAGACATCACCAGCGAGCACATAGGAAAAGCAGACCTAAACATATGAGGCCTGATTCAAACAGTTTGCTCAGAGTCCACATAACCAATGATGCTTGTAAACACATGATCATGAAGCAAAACCTGTACTAAAAGTAGGACAATAGTAAATGGCTTCCATAGGTCGACTTTCAAAGAATGACCAGCATTTACCTAGAAACACTGGGACCCGAAGGGCATGGCAATACATGGAGCAATACACAGGCGAGTGACTGAAGGTGATCCACCTCCTGAGCCACCAGCTCCTGATGCCCTGTAGTGAGGAGATGGAACTAGCGGAGAAATTATCTAACTACAGTACACACAGAAATCACAATAGCGTGATGTATCAAATGAACAAAATAAGGCAGCGTCTGGGATCTCTCGGATGTAGGTTCGAACCCTCATCACGGCCCTTGTGGATTTGTTCATGATCTAAATACAGGGTGTCCTATTTTCAGTTTTGTTAACTTTTTCTTTGCTGTTCTCTGTTTTGACTCACTGTACTATACCTCTCTGGTTGCTATTTCCTCAGAGTGATCTGGTATTCTCTGCTCCATGCACATTTCTGAGGGAACTAGATTTTGGTCTCTGCTTTCTAGTAGGCTATTAATGACTCGAAAGGGTTTGCCACAATTTGATAGCTGTGAAGCTATCAAATCACATGACTTGATAATGGTCCAGGATTAGCCGAAATGTCGCAGTTTCTCCATCTTCTGATGTGTGGTTTGGTCATCATATATTCAGCCCCATTATTGTGGCTCATTGTCTGCTTGTGGAGACATTCAAAGTTGCTAGCAACAGGGAATCTCCTTGGGAGCCTGCCAGAATACTGTACTAGCTGGACAACGTAGAAATTGTAAAATTTAAATGCGAAAGAGATCAGAATGTCACGATTAGTACGAATCTTAAATCAAGAATATTAGACAGTATAGATGTTCGAAAAGACGCATAGGACAGAGTACGTACTAGAATTCATATCAAGAAGTGTTAGCAACAAGGCAACAAATGTTTTTCTTCAGCTTTATCTTACAATTATTAGAATCCAATGAAAGTATGCAGTTCAGTTTTGAGCACATATACTGTAATAGAATGGATATAAATTTATAGAAATTTATATCCAGACAGAGGATGACAAAGCTTTTCTTAATAATTAGAAACCTACCTTATGAAGAGATTAAGAAAGCTTGATTTACACAGAATGTAGAGACACATGAACAAATGTAACCTTCCACTATTTCTCCTTCATTTCTGAATTCAGGAATTACAGTATAGTAAAGTAGAGTTCAAAATATATATTCTTGTGTGACACTGCATTAGGAATACTTACTCCTTGAATACTTTGCTAAATTTCTTTATTAGGCCCTTGTAGCAGTTATTTGTAAAAACCTTGTATATATACAGTAATTGCAACTTGTGAAAGCCCACCTGTTTTTTATTAACTCTTCTCTATGACCTACTGCACCCAACAAAATATATGAGTTTTAAGAAGCTACAGTGGAATACGTGATGCCTAACCTGACTCTCTTTTCAACATTGTGCTTGAAGACCTCTCTCAAGTCATGCTGGGAGCAGGCACCCGACACAACCATGGAGGCAAGTCGTTCGTTCTTAAGGAACACTTCATGGTAGCTCTGTACAGCATTTGTGAAAGCCTCATCTGCCGCAATCTGCAGTTCCCCTTTTAGGAAGCTCTGTGGAAGGAAAGTATCATTGTTACACAAAATGTGCAGACATGAACAAATTCAATCATTAGCTTTCTCTCACTCTCTTTTGAACTCAGGAATTACAATACTGGTACTGTAAATTATAATGAAAGAGGTATTCTCCTTTATTAATGCCTCTTCCTTGAAAATTTCCCTAAAACAAACAACTTTTCTTTGCTCTTGCTCCCTCCCTCACTTTCATCTCTCACTACTCCACCCTTTTAAAATTCAACATACAGTACTTGCAGACGAGGAGTCACAATAACGTGGCAGAAATATGTTGACCAAACCACACACTTTTTGCAGCTTTTGCATTAGTCTCTGGTGTGGTAATATGTCAAAGGCTTTCTGGCAATCCAAAAATATGCAGTCTGCCCACCCCTCACTTTCTTGCCCGATTCTCGTTACCTGATCATAGAATTCAATTAATCCTGTGAGGCATGACTTGCCAATATCTGTAATCATGTTGGTGTTGTGTCGCAAAGTCCCTTCGCTTCAGATGTTCCACTAGCTTTTTTCGCACAATCTTCTCCATTAACTTGCATGGTATGCAAGTTAGGGACACTGGCCTGTAGTTCATTGCCTCCTGTATGTCCCCCTTCTTGTATGTCCGGACTACGTTTGCCGTCTTCCAAATTTTTGGCAGTTCACCTGTTACCAGTGATTTGTGATACACCATGGAGAGTGGCAGGCACAATGCTTCTGCTCCTTCCTTTAGTATCCATGGTGATATTCCATCTGGGCCTATATCCTTTGACACATCCAACTCTAGCAAAAGCTTCCTTACATCCCCACTGGTAATCCAACTCCTCTAGTGGTACCTGGTTAACTATTCCTTAACTATGTCTTTTTAACTTTCTATTATTCCATTGGTTAACTATGTCTCAGCAGCAAGAGGCAGGCCCTGATGCATGTATCAGTGACAAGACGCCGGCCCATGGAAGCATATCTCAGCAGCAAGAGGCAGGTTCTGGGGAATGTCTCTGCGGTAGTAGTCGGACTCTAGATCATTTCTGTTAGCAGGTGCAGCCCTGGAAGCAGCTGTCAGTGCCAGTCTTTACAACTCCAGACATATCTTTGAGGGAGTGTATCTCCCTTGGCTGGTTGTCAAGCCGAACAAGGGCAAGATTCATGATAATGGGAGGGCGAGGGGAGTGTGTGTGGAGGGTGAGGTAGGCGGCGACTGTGGAGTGAGGCAGGCACTGTGTGTGGAGAGTGAGGTAAGCGGCGAGTGTGGATCGTGAGGAAGGCGAAGAGTGTGGATCGTGAGGCAGGTGACAAATGTGGATCGTGAGGCAGGCGACGAGTGTGGAGCGTGATGCAGATGGTGAGTGTGGAGTAAGGCAGGCGGCAAGTGTGGAGCGTGAGGCAGGTGGCGAGTGTGGAGCGTGAGGCAGGCGGCGAGTGCGAAGCGTGAGGCAGGCGGCGAGTGCGAAGCGTGAGGCAGGCGGCGAGTGCGAAGCGTGAGGCAGGCGGCGAGTGTGGAGAGTGAGGCAGGCGGCGAGTGTAGAGAGTGAGGCAGGCGGCGAGTGTGGAGAGTGAGGCAGGAGGCGAGTGTGGAGAGTGAGGCAGGAGGCGAGAGTGGAGAGTGAGGCAGGAGGCGAGTGTGGAGCATGAGGCAGGCGGCGAGTGTGGAGCATGAGGCAGGCGGTGAGTGTGGAGCATGAGGCAGGCTGCGAGTGTGGAGTGAGGCAGGCGGCGAGTGTGGAGAGTGAGGCAGGCGGCGAGTGTGGAGAGTGAGGCAGGAGGCGAGTGTGGAGTGAGGCAGGCGGCAAGTGTGAAGTGAGGCAGGCGGCAAGTGTGAAGTGAGGCAGGCGGCGAGTGTGAAGAGTAAGGCAGGCCACCCTCGACCACAGGCGAGGGTGGAAGGCGGCGAATGTGGAGTGAGGCAGGCGGCGAGTGAGGCAGGCGGCGAGTGTGGAGAGTGAGGCAGGCGGCAAGTGTGGAGTGAGGCAGGTGGCAAGTGTGAAGAGTGAGGCAGGCGGCGAGTGTGAAAAGTGAGGCAGGCGGCGAGTGTGGAGAGTGAGGCAGGCGGCGAGTGTGGAGAGTGAGGCAGGCGGCGAGTGTGGAGAGTGAGGCAGGCGGCGAGTGTGGAGAGTGAGGCAGGCGGCGAGTGTGAAGAGTGAGGCAGGTGGCGAGTGTGGCAGGCGGCGAGTGTGGAGCGTGAGGCAGGCGGCGAGTGTGGAGAGTGAGGCAGGCGGCGAGTGTGGAGAGTGAGGCAGGCGGCGAGTGTGGAGAGTGAGGCAGGCGGCGAGTGTGGAGAGTGAGGCAGGCGGCGAGTGTGGAGAGTGAGGCAGGCAGCGAGTGTGGAGAGTGAGGCAGGCGGCGAGTGTGGAGAGTGAGGCAGGCGGCGAGTGTGGAGAGTGAGGCAGGCAGCGAGTGTGAAAAGTGAGGCAGGCGGCGAGTGTGGAGAGTGAGGCAGGCGGCGAGTGTGAAGAGTGAGGCAGGCAGCGAGTGTGAAAAGTGAGGCAGGCGGCGAGTGTGGAGAGTGAGGCAGGCGGCGAGTGTGGAGAGTGAGGCAGGCGGCGAGTGTGGAGAGTGAGGCAGGTGGCGAGTGTGGCAGGCGGCGAGTGTGGAGCGTGAGGCAGGCGGCGAGTGTGGAGAGTGAGGCAGGCGGCGAGTGTGGAGAGTAAGGCAGGCGGCGAGTGTGGAGAGTGAGGCAGGCGGCGAGTGTGGAGAGTGAGGCAGGCGGCGAGTGTGGAGAGTGAGGCAGGCGGCGAGTGTGGAGAGTGAGGCAGGCGGCGAGTGTGGAGAGTGAGGCAGGCGGCGAGTGTGGAGAGTGAGGCAGGCGGCGAGTGTGGAGCGTGAGGCAGGCGGCGAGTGTGGAGAGTGAGGCAGGCGGCGAGTGTGGAGAGTGAGGCAGGCGGCGAGTGTGGAGAGTAAGGCAGGCGGCGAGTGTGGAGAGTGAGGCAGGCGGCGAGTGTGGAGCGTGAGGCAGGCGGCGAGTGTGGAGAGTGAGGCAGGCGGCGAGTGTGGAGAGTGAGGCAGGCGGCGAGTGTGGAGAGTGAGGCAGGCGGCGAGTGTGGAGAGTGAGGCAGGAGGCGAGTGTGGTACTTGCTGGGAGAGTGGGGGTGGCGGGGTCCCGACACAGATGTTCGCCACCCCCACCACTACATAACATTTTCAGTGATGCTGTTATACCTTACACTTAAGTGTGTTTTATTTCAATGTCTGAAATTTTTCGGCCTGTGTTTGGAACAAGTTAGTTTAGTTCATTTATTATGCACCCGATACCCAACTTGTGGGCGGTAACCCCATACCCAACTTGTGGGCGGTAGTGGAAACAGTTATAGAGGCACATAACAAATAAATAACAAAATAATGGCCATTGCCTTTTGGAAACGAAAGACGGTGGAGTTTCTGATGGGGAAGAGAGAGACAATTGCGCACCGCGTTCCGCAAGGCGCGGTGCGGACAGTCTGGGTGGCATAAATAGCGCGGGAAGGGAGGTCTCGCCCTCACTCCATTCTCGACACGGTCCGCGATTCACGAAGCGCCCACCCTCCTCCCCCCTTTCTGCTGGCTGCCAGTTTTCCTGGTTCTGACTACGTCAGTCGTTGTTCTTCACGTCTTTCCTCCCGTTTCACTGGGGATGGGTGGGGGGGGGGGGTGCAGCGCCCGTCCCCAAGTGTTCCGCTGTCCGCAGCTACTACTTTGACTTTACAGCCATTCTACTAGTAAGCCCTAACTTAAGTCAGGAAATTTTTCTCCTTATTCCTTGGCGGCTCAGCCTCTGGCCTGGGGTTATTTTCTTCTCCAAATTCATATCAGGCTTTCCCAGTCTCTATGTAATTTTCTGCCGCCTGATTATTTCCAGATAGGGTTTCCATTATGTTATGTTGTTCACTTATGGTGTCCTGACTGTTATACTTAGAGTTAGATTTGTTACATTCGCCTCACTGCTAATTCTAGACAATAGGCCATTAGGTTTCTGCAGTTTGTTACTAGGCTACAAGATTACTTTTATTTTACTACGGGTGTACAATTTAAGATGTTTCGTGTACTTTGAGTTAGCCACGGCTATGTTATACATTTGTTAAGATCTACTTAGAAGCCTGTTTTACTCTGCAGAATTATTTATCCTGTACTAATAAAATTTACGCCCCCATACTGTTGGTGTCTTCCTTCCCCTGATCAGAAAACATTTTATTTAGGAAAAGTACATACATAGATGAAGAGTTACATAGTGTTGAATTTATAGATAGAGCTAATACATACAATACCTAAAGCCACTAATACGCATAGCGTTTCGGGCTATGGGGACTGGGCTCAGGGCTCAGGGACTGAACCCCACAATTCATTAAGCTAAGCAAGTTACAATCTTGATGAGCTAGTTACAAAATTCAGTGTAAGTCGTCACATCATCGATGGGTTCGAGATCGACCACAAGTACAGTTTCTAAATTTGAAACAAGGCCAGAAGTTTCGGCGCCATGTTGTCTTTTGGAAGCCTGCGGCACCAGCCCCTTCCCTCCACTCCAACTCTCCTACATTATCTAACAGTTCTCGCACGTCAAGTTGTATATCATTTCGAGGTGATGTTCCTTTACGGGGAAATTGACTTGTTAGTGGTTTCTGATAGCGGCGGCGTAGCAGGTGTCTGAGAACGCATGCTGGGAACTGGCGACAATTGTCACCGTCGCTCCCTCACACCTTCACACACCCGCCCCCAGCCACCATCACCACCCCAGCGCCCTCATCACGTCTCCGCTATCTTCTCACACACACCCGCTACCCACCTACCTCTCCCTCTTGCACGGGTGTGCCCTTTGACATCAACTATAACTGAAACGGTTCGATCATCCACTACTGAGAAAGGTGTCATCAGTCCGCATGTCGACGTTGCTCACGATGTAATGCACGATATTCTGACACTTGTGCCTCTCACTGGCTATCCCTTCATTCCTCCGCCCTTTTAACGTCACTCTCACAAACCTCGACGGCTCTGAGACGCCAGATAACGACAGATTATGAAAGGAGTAGTACATGACCAGGGGTGCCACATGTGCAAACTTTAGTCCTCAATTAAGTCTTCTGTCTTCCACATTGCTGGAAGACAGAAGAGTTTGGGAAGACGTGATCACAACATACACAATTTTCAGGGAAATTAATCTGGTAGATAAAGACAGATTTAATACAGGAGGTACTAGCTCGCACACGGAGACACAGGTGGAAACCGAGTACGCAAATGAGCCCCAGACATTAGAAAAGAACACTGCTTTTCCCAAAAAAAGCGGTGGGTTTTCTGAGGAAAAGAAAACGTATGTCTCGAAGCCGAGTCTAACCGCCCAAGCTGCGCGCGCAACGAGCCGAGGTTATATAAGCTCTGCCTGCAGACTGGGTGGCCCCCTGTCTCGAGAAGCAAGCAGCTGCTCACTTACAAAATCTGCCTAGTAGAACCGGAACTAGTAGTAGTAGAACTAGTAGAGTAGAGTAGTAGTAGAACTAGACTTTATTGTTATGCATTAGTCACTAATTATTTATCATTCACCCTAATTAGCTATTTGATTCATTGAAAATAATTGCTTATTATACTATGTTATTATTATTATATTATATAATAATAATTTATTATTTATTATTAATTTATTATTAATTTATTATTTACTATTATAAAATAAACAAGTCCCCAATCTGAGCGCGTTTTCTTCTAACCTCAGAAAAGAACTTTTCAGTGTCAGATTAGTTAACTAATGTAATGTATTAGGAAGTGGTATGGTGGAGGCAGACGCCATACACAGTTTCAAATGTAGATATGATAAGAGCCCGATAGGCTCAGGAATCTGTACACCAGTTGATTGGCGATTGAGAGGCGGTACCAAAGAGCCGAAGCTGAATCCCCGCAAGTACAATTAGGTGAGTACACACACACACACACACACACACACACACACACACACACACACACACACACACACACACACACACACACCCCTAATTAAACAGCAGACTTAGTTGATAATGACGTTTTGCCAGTAAGGGCTTATATCAAACCTAATAAAATCTTATCTCAACTTGATGCTTCTATACATGGTTGTAAGCACCGTGATCAGTTCCAGTCTCCCTACCTACGGGGTGATCCAGTCTGATCCCTACCTACGGGGTGATCCAGTCTCCCTACCTACGGGGTGATCCAGTCTCCCTACCTACGGGGTGATCCAGTCTCCCTACCTACGGGGTGATCCAGTCTCCCTACCTACGGGGTGATCCAGTCTCCCTACCTACGGGGTGATCCGGTCTCCCTACCTTCGGGGTGATCCAGTCTGATCCCTACCTACGGGGTGATCCAGTCTCCCTACCTACGGGGTGATCCAGTCTCCCTACCTACGGGGTGATCCAGTCTCCCTACCTACGGGGTGATCCGGTCTCCCTACCTTCGGGGTGATCCAGTCTGATCCCTACCTACGGGGTGATCCAGTCTCCCTACCTACGGGGTGATCCAGTCTCCCTACCTACGGGGTGATCCAGTCTCCCTACCTACGGGGTGATCCGGTCTCTCTACCTTCGGGGTGATCCAGTCTGATCCCTACCTACGGAGACTAACACAACCAATGTAACGTTGGCGCCAACATTGTTGGCCAGTACGCCTGTGTTCCCCGTCATGTCACGAACGCCTTAAAGCTTTACGACGCCATATTCACCAGTATTTACCACCTTACCTAAAGGGCCACCATCTCCAGTGGCCTCGTGGGAGACAAGAGGCCGCTCGTGTCTTGTCAGATATAACCCTACCCCACATCCTGAGAGGTCATGATTGAATAAGTTTCACGTACCTGGAAGCGGCTCTGGATGGTTTCCAGCTGATGCTTGGAGACTTTGATCTGCCTCTTGGTCATGTCGGTGGGCTGCTTGGCGTTGAAAGGGTAGGATATGCAGCGGAGGATGAAGACATAGAGCTGGAGGCGTCTCTTGCGCTCCTCCTCCTCCCGCTCGTGCTTCTCCTGCAACACAATGACAAGTCACACGGTGCCACCGCCTCAGGCAACACTGCTAAAACTCCACTCATTATTATTTACCCGAGGCTCACGGCCTTCGGGGGACGGGGACAAGAAGCCGGCGGCTTGTCAAAGGTCCCGCGTATTGTTCCGAAGGATTTTTCCCAACTGGATTTAGTGAAAATAGTAATGGAAATGTCTTCCTTAAATATATATATATAAACTTATTCCAGGAACTGCTTTTATGACATGTTGGCACTTAAGTCTGCGTAAACAATAATGTAAAATTGGCAAGAGTGAAGAGTGGAGGAAGAGAGTTAAGGACCAAAGTGTCCAGCACAAATGTGTACAAAAAGGAACATGGAAGATACATTAATGGAAGGAGCAGCTCGAGGCACAAGGAACCAGGTAAACATCTACCATGTATACACCTTAACATAGAGAATAAATTATTATTTTAAGTTGGAAGCCGTCACTCTCTTTCAAAGATATAGAGAGACTGATTTAGCAATAAATATATTATTGATCATCCTTTTGCATCTCGTTAAAAGAAAGCTGAGATATTGACCACGTGGAAAAGCATGTTTTAATGGCACACTTGGACGTGCTGGGCAGCTGGGAGCTGTCTTATGCATACATGTATTGTCATTACAATATTAATGGCTCAAGTTATCACATTTACTGATCCTAAAATTAAAGAAACCCCCTGATAAATGTTGAGAAAAATACCTAAATCTGTCGATGGTGACGGAATATTTATCACGGGTGGTACTAACACGGACCACAGGCACACACGGACCACAGGCACCAGGCACACACACACACACACACACACACACACACACACACACACACACACACACACACACACACACACACACCAAAGTGTGTGTGTGTGTGTGTGTGTGTGACCAAAGAGCCAGAGCTCAACCCCCGCAAGCACAACTAGGTGAGTACACACGGACCACAGGCACCAGGCACACACACACACACACACACACGGACCACAGGCACACACACACGGACCACAAGCACCAGCACACACACACACACACACACACGGACCACAGGCACACACACACGGACCACAAGCACCAGCACACACACGGACCACAGGTATTGTAATAATGCCGTCATAGAGAGTAACCAAAGACGGCACATATGAAGTAATAACGGATGAAATCGAGACAAAGAAGAGGGGGAAGACAATACTGGGAAAACAAGAGAAAGAGAGGGCGAGGAAATATAAGAAAGCAGGAGACAAAGACCAGAGAAAATGATAAACGAGACGAGCAGAAAATGACCGGTTGGTAGTGTAGAGCTGGTGAGGGTCGGAGACTGTGTCCCCTACCTACCTAACCTAACCTAAGACCCCTACCTTTCCTGGATGGGTAGAGGGGACCTCCACCACACACATGGCTGGGTGAGGTGCTCACCCAGCCATGGGGCACCGAGAGAATCATTACAACACCAACCTCATTACTGGATGTTGACCATCTGTGCTCTATGTTGTCACACTTCACAGCAAAGATGCTCTCAAGAACACAGAGGTACCAGAGCATACTCAACTTTAAACCTTTTGCCCGTTTATGTTCGATAGAGCCCGAAGAATGCTAATTTCTTTACCTGGAGAATTAAAGACGTCTACCCGATCACAGCCGGACTTTGAATGATTCTTCAAGGATGCTGCACATTGTTCCAGTTCTCAAAGTTTCGCAGACTTTTCCGTACTCCAGTCAGAAATAAACATCCGGGAAAAAATTAACATAAGCTTGTTTCCATTGGTCAGAGGCAACACCCCATCACTGTAGGTGTGGCAGAAGTGTACAGTCAGAAGACAAGACTTGGGTCTTTATCCCAGGAGGCCTTGAGCACCATCTTGTTCCTCTCGACAACTCCAGCTTCTCAGGTGGTGGTCTCATTTATCATCAGTCACAATGGGTAACTTGTAATTGTCGCGGCACCATCTCATTGTTGGCGGGGCACAGCGCTCACGGCTCTAGGTTTGAGCTTTGCCTGTAGGATAATAAGGTTCGAAGTGTGTATACAGTGACGTACTGGACGCACACGTCAAGGGACGTACTGGACGCACACGTCAAGGGACGTTCTGGACGCACACGTCAAGGGACGTACTGGACGCACACGTCAAGGGACGTACTGGACGCACACGTCAAGGGACGTACTGGACGCACACGTCAAGGGACGTACTGGACGCACACGTCAAGGGACGTACTGGACGCACACGTCAACAAGGGACGTACTGGACGCACACGTCAAGGGACGTACTGGACGCACACGTCAGCGGGGGCCATCGTGTAAAGGACATACACCAAACGGCCCACACTCCTAATGATAGATTTCCCGCTCTTAAATACGGGGAATTTTAATTAAAAATACCAACGGCGGAATAACATTGGTGGAATTGTATTATCCTCGACCAATAACTTAGTTTTTATTATTAGTTTTACCATCAGTGTTGTCAACCACAAGCTTTACTCTTTTCAACAATTATATCTTTATATTTATAACGAATATACTTTTAATATTTTTGTATTTAATCTTGGTATTATACAATGATGCAGACTTGTGTGTACGTCATACACTCAGTACTCCGAGATGTCTATCAAACCACATTCTCTTATAAATGTCTCCGTGGTGCAGTGGTAAGACACTCGCCTGGCGTTCCGCGAGCGCTTTGTCCTGGGTTCGTATCCTGGCCGGGGAGAATTTACTGGGCGCAAATCCTTAACTGTAGCCTCTGTTTAACTCAAGAGTAAAATGGGTACTTGGTTGTAACAACGATTCTTCGCGGCGGGGATCGTATTCCAGGGACCTGCCCGAAACGCTACGTGTACTAGTGGCTGTACAAGAATGTAACAACTCTTGTATATATTTAAAAAAAAAAATAGTCCTTCGATAATTTTAACATCGTTTGATATGTTTCCGTCTGTACCCGTCTCCCAAACCGTCTCCCTCCTGCCGCGGGAATCGAACTGTGGACTCTAGGTTGCTTGGCGACGACTTAGACCAGGGTGCGGGTTCTCTCCATACATGCCAGGTTCCCACTATACTTAGCAGTTCCCTTTTATATAACGAATTTCCCTTACTAGGTTTGACAAGTCCCTGCTACAACTTGCAGGTCTCCCCTTTGCGTGCCAGCCTTCACCTACCCACGGTTTGACACCTCCTACCCGCCCAGGGCACCATGGCCCTCCCGCCCAGGGCACCATGGCCCTCCCGCCCAGGGCACCATGGCCCTCCCGCCAACAGTATTATTGAAGAGGAAGTCAATTTTTGCTAGGCATTAAAAACAACAGTTGGTAAGTTGAGCGACTATGGTGAGTGGCTTTAAGACCAACCTCCTGGTAACCAGTTAAATACAGGACTAACTTGGATATAATTGAAGTGGTGGTTATTAACGTAATATAACAAGTGGTTGCAAGGTGTCCACGTGTGCGGCCCGTTGTACAGGTCCGCTGTGGCTCACAGTCCACTTCCCACTGGGTTAAAGTTTCTTTGATCAGCCACGTATTTAACATTCACTGTGGCGTTGTTTTACCAAGTTTCAGTCAGCCTCTTGAGTTGCCACAACCAACAATATACGGGGTACAAGTCCGCGCGAACCAAAGCCACCCACCTAACCCAACCAGCCTACGTATAGAAAATGTGGGTATTTGTGAGCCGCTACTTTTCATAGCACCTTGTATTTTGTACGTTGGGACCATAGCGTACAAGATTATGTGTATTATTTGAGGTGAGCAGCTGGTGATGACCTTGGTAGCCGCCAGGGCAGGACCACAGCGACACTGTTGAGCGGAGGCGAGGCGGGAGCGCCACCATACTGTAGGTCACACGCTGGGGTGAAGGAGGCGAACATGCCCTGGTTGGGCCTCATTATCTCTCATCTTTACCTACCCAAATGAGGCCTTCATTAAGGCTAGCACACAAAAGTCTTAATAATTAGATGGCTGCGATCAATGGGAAAAAAACTCATTAATTTCGGCTTAATATTGAAGCTGGAGCAGGATACAATGGCGGGCGCCCCCTTGGGTCTTATATAGTTCTCCTGTTACACCGTGATCACTGATAAGCTGTAGGAGGAGGAACAGTGGGGGGGGGGCTCTCTCCCCCTACTCCAGCACCCCAACAACCTCCCCTCACACCCCCTTTGTTATAAATCTTATAAGAAAATTTACGAATGACGGTACGCAAGTGAAGTGTCTGTGAAGAGGAGCAGCGAGCGTGAGGTGTAGTGTGCTCACGAAATGAGAGTACTTGCTGGTAACTTTTAGCAAATACTTAAGGTAACATTCGTCACCCTCTATAACAACACACACAACCACCTCCCCAGTAGCCTGATCCACACACAACAAACTATATTAACAATTCAAATTCAAATTTCAAATTCAAAAAATTCAAATGTTTGTTCAGGTAAAGTACATACATACAAGGTGTGATACAAACATTGATGGATTTATAGATAGAGCTAGTACATACAATGTCTAAAGCCACTATGACGCAAAGCGTTTCGGGCAGGAAAAACACTGAAGACTAAAACTTAATACTCATTGAGAATAAAGTATAAAATGTGTTGAGAACATATAAAAATAAAAAAAGGGGGGAACATGGCAGAAAAAAATAGCAAAAATATAATTTGGTCGACAAACAGCATTGCTTAAGAATAGCAGACATGGGTTGACATTATAGGGGTAAGGTAGGTTACAGGGAGTTAATTAGGTAGTACTTAGTTTTTATCTTAAACTGGTTGGGAGAGGTACAGTCTTTAACATGATTGGGAAGGTCATTCCACATTCTGGGTCCCTTGATTTGTAGAGCATTTCTAGTTTGATTAAGTCGTACTCTTGGAATATCAAAAAGGTATTTGTTTCTGGTGTGGTGTTAGGGGTAATATAGGTTACTAGGGGTAACTCCCTGCACCCGGGACCCTCTCCCCCTGCCCCCCTCTCACCCAATCTCCACATATCTCATATCTCCTTCCTTCTCTT